CTGCACTAATCTTAAATTACACATCACATCTATGACTCATAATGTGTAATTTTGTTGAACCGAATGATTATTAGACCAATCTGAAGAGGAATGTAATGAGTCGTTGAACGATTATGACCGTCTTGAGTGCATGGGCTTTGAACTCAAGGACTTGCACATTGAAACAGCATTGGAATTTAACTATATATAGATTACTAGTAGGCTGCTTTTATTAAAGATTAAATAGGAACTGATAAGATGCGTATTTTCTAACTAAGGCTATTATTATGACTCGAGGTCATTGGTTGCTTTCGTGCTGGCACATTCCGGGTTAGCCTGGTCCAACTGCGCCTCACTATCCTTCTTGGGTTGGATCTCGGTTCGGGACTCTTCTTTGGGTGCCGGCGAACTCCTTCGATTGGGAAATATCATTCTCTCCAGCCCTTCCAGAGGTGCCTCAATAATGGCGTAGAGCACATAGGACATCAATAGGGTGAACCCAAAGGTGGCCCAGAAGCTAAGCATCTGTGGAGGTTAAAATAGGTAGGATGTTATAATTTAAAAATTAAGTAATTAGGAATAAATGAGAAAATATATGCAAGGTCCCGTAAGTTCTGTCCACTTACCACGTCGTAGTTGGAAAAGTAGGTATTTGACCGAATGCGTCGGTGGTTGACCTCCTGGATGAAGATGTGCCAAATGTACGCCGAGTAGGAGAGCTTCGATAGGGGCTGCCAGAGGGGTGAGGACAAGAAGCTATTGGCCAGTCCCCCATATCCCTGCATGCAGGCAAAGACCACCCAGCAGAGGGCCAGAGGCCAGCCAATACGGGTCAGAGTGTAGTAGAGGGCTCCCTCTAGGACTGTGGGCGAAGGGCCCTGCAGCTTGGCATATGGGAACAGGACGAAGATCGCGGTGAATATCATGGCCAAACAGAGCAGCCATCCTGCCCAGACTGCCAGGCGGTTCAGCTGCACCTTCCTGCCGCGAGTCACGTGCAAGAAGTACCCGAAGAGGGTGCCAATCAACCAGGGCGCCGCATGGACATGTGTGGCATAGTAGATTTTCTTCTGTACCTCTGGAAGCTGTCCACCGTTTCTGAAAAAAGAATTAGGTTAAATATCCCAAAGATGGAAAGTCACTGTGTTTTGACAACATACTTGAACATTATATTGTAGTCATTTGTCATTATGGTGGCAAACAGACAGGCGGAGAGTAACAGCATCACCAGCAGGATGCCCGCGGCTCCCTTCTTGCCCCACTTGTAGAGGCCGATCAGCAGGATGGGGGACAGGATGTACAGCTGCATATCCACCGCCAGGTACCAGGTATGCGGGAGGCACTAAGGTCGAGGAATCAGTTAAACACAAGACATTAGCGAAAATTAGACCACCAACTCACCATGCTGGAGGTGGCGTAGTTCTGAACATAGAGCAAGGTCAAGTACCAGGTATTATCGCAGGTGGAGTAGTCAAAAATCCGGGATTTATCGTACATAGGACCGTCGGCGAAAAGGGGTAGCATCTTAAGGTAGACTAGTATGGCAACGGCTACAATGGGAGTGAGACGCAGATACCTATGCAGATACATAAGCGGGACGTTCTGCCTTCCCTTGGTTCTGGAATTAGACATATATGTATATGGAAATTGATCTTCGGACTGCCCACGCTTTCAACTCACTTTTCCAAAGAGCGCAGGCCAATGGCGACCAAGAGCAAGCCACTGATGAAGAAGAACGTGTCCACCGCAAATTGCGCGTAGAGAAAGAAGCTGGTGAAGGGTTGCGACATCCATACCAAGTTATCCGCCATATTGATAGCCGGCGATATCAGGTTGATGCTGTACTCATGGCCCAGAATCACCCAGAGGAGGGACATGCAGCGCATGCCATTCAAGCAATGGATCACATTGGGACTTGCCTTGATGTCCACAACAGTGAACAGGGATCGCGATGTGGCACGGGCAGAGAAGGCCTTTATAAGTCTGGGAATCTTATCTGCAAGATAAAAGATCATTCACTAATCATTATCTGTAGTCTCTGTGAGTGGGAGTGTGGAACTCACCCTGCTCCGGACACAAAAAGTAGTCGTAGAGGGTGCAAGCGACCACCGTAGTGCAAAACGCGGACAGTAGGACACTAAAAAATACAAGGGGTCAGTCTGGTTGAATTAAATCATCATCATGACCCCGCTCACATGGTAAATATGGTTAATCCATCCATGGGAGGACTCTCCTTCACTTTGCACGACTTCTCGCTAATCGAAAACAAATTGCTTGGGTCACTAACACCCAGGAGTCTCTGGAGCAGCTGCTTCAGGAAGGTCTCCATGGCACTTGCAGAACAGGAGGAGGGAAAACACAGAGCGGTCTGCATGTTGGTCAACCTGAGGATATCCGAAGTGAGGCCGAGCCACTTGTAAACTGGCAGCTTCATAAAGCAATACTTCCCCTTGATGTTGTGCGTTTCGCTGATGGCACCATCCACCTTGATGCACTCCTCGTAGTTTCCCATGTCGATGCGGTTGCCAAACAAGTATCCCGAGGGAACTGTGCCCCAGGCGTCAATCACTGCAGGTGAGTATAGAAAATACAATCTCTATAGGTATTATTGAAAAAGTATACACACTTTTAATGGCCCATCTCTTGGCGGAAGTAAGGCCACTCATAAACTGGGCCATGTCTGCCAGGCACACCAGATCCTGCTCGCTGAGCCGCCCGTCAAGGAGATGCAAGTCCGTTGACGACATATTTCGAAACTCTCGAAAGAACTCCATTCCCAAGGAACGCAGCTCCATTAACCGTTCGTAATCCGCCATGGAGGAGATTTCATTTTCTTTCTTTAAAAGGACGTCGTGGTTGGGCAGTGCTCCTTGGGCTAAGGCCAACCAAATGACTAGCAGCGTTCCCGTTCCCACTGCTCTGATCATCATCTTTCTTTTGGGGCTCTCTGTATACGACTGATTGACTAATAGCCCTTCAGTAGCCCATTTATATATGGGAACCCATGCCCGATGCTATCCCCCGAATCGCGGAATCTTTATCGCCCAGGTTCGACAAGTTACTACGTATAGATAAAAGTGCCGATAATCACAGTTGATATACGCACCTTAGCCGTCCGTTCCTCTTCAATTTGTTGATCGGTTAATCATTGTGGGTTTTACTGAAATTGCTGGAAATAAACTCGTCAAGATAGCCCGTCCCTACTTATTTTTCAATTTAAATCTAAACAAGAAAACAACCGGATGTTTTTACGGAACTGTGATACTGTTTTATACCGTGTTATAGAAAGTTTAGCCGTTTAAAATTGTGCAACTTTTATGTGGGTTAAATAGGAATAATAAAATCTTTTCCATATTGTAGAAACCAAAATTTTGTATTTACAGCCAGTGTCCAATTACTGCTCCTATTATTTTACCTATAATTTTAAATACTCCCGATCCCCGCCAGCTATCTTTTTAGCGTGTTTTATAATCGATTTATGTAGTTTACCAAGTTAGTTAGTTTGCAATGGGGCTTATGTATGGGGTTCAACAAAATGATTGGCAAATTGTCTGTCAGCTGTCTGTCGTTTTGACGGTGTGTTTCCGACATTGAAGACTAATCGTATTTGTCAGTGTCCAGGGCATCGAAAATAAATATATATATTTCTTTAATATCCTGTATTTGGTCCAGGTTCGGTTACGTTTTGTGGGAAATGGAAATCGAAACGAGTTTTCACTTTCATCTAGGCTAAGTTCCCAGCCAAAAGTCGAGGGGAGTGTTACAGACAGGTTTTCTATACGCATTATGGACCAGATCACATTTCTTGGTTACGCAACACATCAAGGTTAAAACTGGAAGGAACGCAAACTTTGGGCACCCGACCAGTTTCCAAAGAACGTTGCCTATCTAAAGTGCGTAAGGATTTTAAACGGTCCAACCCAATTTCGTTATTGGTACCTTTTATGGTAAACGTTGTAATAAAATAAAAATGTTTGTTTTCTGAAAGTAATTTGTGTAGAATATGGCAAAAGTGGAATATGTTAAGCAAGCAGCTGGAGTACCATCAGATATCCAAAGATTTTTTTGCTCTTGTTTTTAGCACTGGTTAAAAACAAAAAAGAACGCGAGTTCGTCATATGTTGGCCAACTAGTCGAGCTAATGTCTTATTTGCATACAAAACTGCCACAACACTCAAACCGAAACAGTCAAAGTTTTCGTCAAATCTTTTTCAAACTCATGGCGCAAACTGGTTTACCCGATTCAATGCGAATGTGAATTGAAAGCGAGAGGTTACAATTGTCCAAATCCAAGCCAGACCCATTCAATCCGAGCAAAGAAAATTCAGTTGCGCCAATACTTGTAAAACAGCCAACGCTCTTAATTACTGTGGAAATGATTAAATATATCTCGAAAATCAAATTCAACAGCCGCAGCTAGACTGAAATTGAAATTCATATTATTATGAGAGCAATTCGTGACAACCTCTTTTTGGCACAGTGGGACTATTGCATTGAAAAGCCCCAAGATCCCCTAAATATATTATTTATTCGTCATAGGTGTTTTCGTTCTTAACCTAGGAAGGACTTAAAAGGGATGCTAATCTTTTAATCGTAATCAGTACCACTAACAGTACAACCTTTATAACTGCACAGAAAATAAGTGTAATTCCTATTGTGTGTGTGTACTTCAAACCATTTTTATATGTCTGGAAGATTCTTATAAAGTATGGATGATGTTACACGGCTTTTACTCGTATATATTCTGCTATATTTCGTAAGGTAAGTCTTAGATGAAAATGATCAATCCGTATTCTTTGCCATAACTTGGGGTTTTTTACAATTTTACAATTCAGTTATGAAGGTTACATTGCCACCGTTATGGGGGGTGATTGGTGACTTTTGAGGACCCATTACCTGGACCCATTATCAAATGCTTTTCGCAGTCCCACGGTGCGTGCAAGCTCACCTCTTGAAATGCACTGGCCGCCAAGCATTATGCATAGTTTGTGCTGCACTTACGATCTATAAACTGCCGCAAAAAGTAGTGCAAAAGTAATTGTTGCCACGCACTGAACCCAACTCGTTGATAACCGTCGGCCGTTGGGGAGCTCGGGGCTCGCGATTACGAGATCCAGACGGACAGCCAGCTAACAGCCTAACAACCCGTCTAACTAGTTGATTTTGGGGCACTTAATCCGCGACGCCCAGGCTCGGCTGGCACTTCGCCCGAGTAAAGTCAGGCGACTCCACCGCTGACCAGTGCCAGTTCTCATTGGAACGGCCTTCCGAGCGGTACGGCCAGCGGTACGAACTCCACTATCCTATAACCGTACTCCCCCGAATCCTGCAGGATGCTGAGCCAGCTGCGCCTGCTGTTCCCAGCCTTGCTAGTGGGTGTGCTCCTGCTGGTGGGAGAGATCTCAGCAGGTGATCCTGTGCCCCAGGATGTGGCCGTTGGACGGGAGAAACGCGGCACCGTCACCCTGGACCTTGGCCTTCTCCTGCGCAACCTGCTCCTGAAGAGCGCCCAGTTGTCATCGGCCAAGGCCAGTCTGGTGAAGACCACCCGTCGTCCTCGAACGACCACCACGACGACACCACCACCACCACCACCTCCTCCTCCGCCACGCAGCAGGAGACCCATCTGGCATCCGTTCTTCAGTTCTGGCTACCTGCCCTTAGACTACGATGCGGACTACGTTGATCCTCCAGCGCCACGTCCTCCTGCGCCGCCTCCACCACCACCACCACCACCACCACCCACTGCGCAGCCGCCCAGACGCCCAGTTCGTCCGCCATTACGACCACGTATGCGTCCAACGCCGCCACCACCACCCCCGCCTCCGCCGAACTATGACTACGACTATGACTACGATGCCCCTCCCCCAGCCCCCACTGAGGCACCACCTCCTCCTCCACCACCACCGCCGCCCGCTGCTCCGACACGCCCAAGGCCACAACCACAACCCAACCAGCAGAGGCGTCCGGCGCAGCTGGGGGATCGCCTTATCTATCAGTACGCACAACCTACTGGTAAAATACGAAACCTTTTAACTAACTGCCGTACAATTGGGTTCTCTCCGACACTTTGCAGATACCTTCTTTAGGTCGCGAGCCGTGGGGGAGGCGGCGGAAGTCCCGGACAGCGGAGACATAGACGATTCAGATGCGGATACGGAAACGGGTACGAGGACGGGTGCAGGTGCTACTGATCCAGCTGTGTCCAAATCGCCTGCTCCAACGGCACCCCGATTTTTGGTCAACTATGAGAGCGATAGCGATTTTGGGCCACCGCCGACCGGACAGCAGGGTCAGGATCACAATCAGGATCCACCTGGCGCATCCGGATTCCCGGCATCACCATCACCCCCAGGCTATTTCTCGCCCCTCGAACTCGGCGGCCTCAATCTCAATCGCTTCCCGATTCCCATCCAGCAGCAGTACTTCTACAACTAAGCGGTACAGTTTCTTATTTTAACTTTTGTGTGGCAATGAAATTGAAAATATTGCTTGTTTATTGCAGTGTGTGCTTACAATTGGTTGCAAACTAGTAATATAAGTAAGCTTTTTTTTTACCCAATTTGCATAGTGGTAAATTATCATTAAAATAAAGTAAAATTAAGGTTTCTGAATAATGGTATTGTTGGAGGGAGTAATGGTAAAGCTACGATTACTATAGAGCCGTTACCCACAGAATTTACATTTTGAGAATGTTTGGCCTTGCTATAAGTACTCTTTTATCAAACAATAACAAGGTAAAAACTTGTGACGATTTTTTTAAAGAAAATGTATCTACTGAATAAATAAACTTTCTATATTTTCTCAATCAAGGTTGTCTTCAAAACCGGCTGTAAAGTTATTGAAAAAATCCCGAAAAACCTGTACTCAAAATTTTATTTGGCTCTAATATTGCAGAAATTTTAGTAAGAACAAGTATGTCAAAGTAAAGTGTTTAGATCTTAAATGTATCTTTCCAATGACGTGTCTTTAGCATAAAGCGTTAAGGAACTGTGACCCCTTGAATTTTAGCCATTTCTAGCTTGTTTTCCGCAAAACTAGCGAGTTTTTCAAAAAGTTAAACCACTATCCGATATAAGAACAAAATATATATCATTTTGAAAACTGCGCCAAAATGCAAATTAATAATCAATCCCGTTTTAAGCTGAAATCTGCGATAAGTTCCGGTCACACGCGAATGTTGGGAGGGTGTCTTGGCTATCGCTGCCAACATTTCGGTGGGACCGTACTGTCGCGCAGATTTTCGTATGGTCACACTCTCGATAGCTTCGATACCAAATAACGCCTCATGATATCGAAGAGCGATAGACCGAACTTTACGGAATTTAATTAAGGAAACGAGTGAAGAAAATTTGGATTATCGCTAAATACGTGGTAGATGGGATCGCCGACGATCCTTTGAAATCCTCGCTCGGCCCCTCGATATGCGTAGCAAGTGCGGGAGTGTGAACGCAACGCGTGTGCAGTGCAGGGCAATAGTTCCAATTCCGAATCGCAGCAGGCGTGAAGAAAGCGACGCATGAGGAAAATGCATACAGATGCGAAAACCAAGAGCCAGCCGCGCTGAAAAACAAGCAAGCACTAATTAATTGCCAAATGTAAGCCCTCGAACGCAGCCAGTTGTATTTTTGCGTTTTTTCGCCAGATTTATGCATTTTCCACTGTCTGTCCATCCCTGTGTGTGTGTGTGTGTGTGCATACTGTTCTTTTTCGCGTTTGCGTTTTGGTCAATTAATGCGAATTTTTTCTGTTTGCGGCCATTGAATTGGTTATTTAACGAAATAACAAATTCGGTTTATGATTTCACCCCTCCTTCCCCTCCCCCACCCCCAAATCAGAACAAATAATTGGAGTTTGCAGATTTGAAGTGCGACGCCTACCCTCAATAAGCAAGAAAGAGATAGCACGTGTCCGACCCATACGAATGCGTTTCAATTGTGTGTGTATTTGTCTGCTCCCCCGACGAGCGTGAATGTGTGTGTGTGCGGTGTGCAAGCAAAACAAAATTTGGCGATTCAAAACAGTTGCAAAATGCAAAATACATTTGGTCTGCAATTGTTAATCGTTCCCCCCAAATGGACCAACATCAGTTGGTAATTGGTCAGGCAAAAAGAAAAAAGAAAACAAGTATTTCTTTTCTTATGCCTTTTGATGTGCGCCTGTGTCCGCACCCAACAAAAGAACGGAAAAAGGCAACACGAAATCAAAATCGAAGAGTTCTCCTGTTTGCAATTCCCAATTAAAAGGCGCTAAACAAAAGCCCAAGCCCCAGAAAAGAAAAAGCACGAATTGAATTGAATTTGTGTCGCCCGAAATGCAAAACAACAAGCAACCAAACCACACACACATATCTGCGTACATATACGCCCGCGCCTTTGTGTGCGTGAGCGACATGGCTGCTCTTTGTGCAATAGTAATAGTGTGTGACTATGAAAAATAGGCGTGTTTCTGTTTCGGTTTCTGTGTTTCGCGTCGCAGGTAAATAATTGCAGTCGCAAAACAACAGCGGGCTAATTATATCGAGTATTTTCCACCAGGCGGCAGTGGAAAGTCGCAGCTCCAACAAGAGGCGGAGGAGATTCGCGTCTTAGCCGGCGGATATCCGCAGACGCCTCCGCATGCTCATTCATTTGTGTGTGTGTGACTGCGGATTCGCAACGGCGACAAATGCACCCCTTTCGGTGCCGTTACTCCTTGCCAGCCTGCGTGTGTGTGTAAGGGTTCGGTCATAAAGACCGCCGAATACTCTACAGCACGTGTCACCACACTACACACAACAAGAATCCCAAAAATCGTATTTTTCAAAGTCCAGACCGGCCTTGGCCACCAAAAGATCCCCTACAGCACGTGTGCATCCCCAAAGCGCTTATCTACCCACCCCCCATTGTCATTAAAAAAACCACACTTTTTCGGGAACCAACTAGTGATGGCGACAACTGGATACCCTTAACCGAATGTGCATCCGCCACACTTACATTTCTAAAAAAAAAAAGGCAAGAACAGTTCCCAACTGGCCAAAAAGCAGCTGACATGTTGGTAACAAGCCAAGGAAAATAGCCATAAAGACCAGCCGTAAAAATATCTGCGATAAGGCCCGTGCTGCGTGTGGAATTCTGAATGATTTGAACAGTGTGTGTGCGAGCGTGAATCACTTGATCGATTTGATGATAGTCGGCTTTTGGCTTTCGGCTTTTCCAGTCCATCCAGCTGTCCAAAACACACAGTGACCACTTGCGCGGCAAAATGCGACACCTCCCCACGCCCCTCGGACAGCTCACTGACCACTAACCAGTGCTGGCAGTCTGAAATCTGCAAGAAATACAACCTCCAAAAATCTCGACCCTTTTGTAAATGACTAAGTGACTGGCACAGACTGTGACTGACTAACCGGAATCTCTGTTTCTTTTCGTCCCCGCCCCAATCCGATCTGAATTCTGCGAAAAACAGACCTTCAACACAGCAGCAGCAGAGTCGGCAACTGGAGGAGCTGCAGACGACGAGGAGCACAGCAGGAGGACCTCTGAGTAGTGAGCTGGGCTAGAGCATGAGAGACAGCCATGCCTTCGGCACGACCTGGTAGTCTCAAGGATCCGGAAATAGCCGACCTGTTCAACAAGCATGACCCGGAGAAGATCTTCGAGGACCTGCGCGAAATCGGCCATGGGTCGTTCGGTGCGGTCTACTATGCCCGCTGCAATCTCACCAAGGAGATTGTGGCCATCAAGAAGATGTCCTACACCGGGAAGCAGAGCCAGGAGAAGTGGCAGGACATTCTCAAAGAAATACGGTTAGTGGGGGCACCATGCACTTGGTTGTAATCATTACTCAATGATTCCACTTCCCTACAGCTTCCTTCGCCAATTGAACCACCCAAACACAATCGAATACAAGGGCTGCTATCTGCGCGAGTCGACTGCCTGGCTGGTGATGGAGTACTGCGTGGGCTCCGCCTCGGACATCATCGAGGTGCACAAGAAACCGCTGCACGAGGACGAGATCGCCGCCATCTGCCTGGGCGTGCTAAGCGGCCTGAGCTATCTGCACTCGCTGGGGCGCATCCACCGCGACATCAAGGCGGGCAACATCCTGCTCACGGACAACGGGGTCGTCAAGCTGGCCGACTTCGGCAGCGCCGCCATCAAGTGCCCCGCAAACAGTTTCGTCGGCACGCCCTACTGGATGGCCCCCGAGGTGATCCTGGCCATGGACGAGGGCCAGTACGACGGCAAGGTGGACGTGTGGTCACTGGGAATCACCTGCATCGAGCTGGCGGAGCGAAAGCCTCCCTACTTCAACATGAACGCCATGTCGGCGCTCTACCACATTGCGCAGAATGAGTCGCCGACCCTTCCGGTGAGCGCTAGCTGTAAATTAGTATTCTATTATTAGGATCTGTAGTGTTTTCGAATTGAATTTCTGATCCCATTTAATACCCCTCAACTTAAGTACGAATCTAGAAATGAATTATTATAAATGTTTTCCCTTTTGATAATCTAACCCGACTTGTTTTTACCCTTGCAGAAGAACGACTGGTCGGATGCCTTCTGCAGCTTTGTCGAACTGTGCCTCAAGAAGATGCCAGCGGAGCGACCCTCGTCTGCCAAGCTCTTGACTCATGCCTACGTGACCCGACCGCGTTCCGACACCGTGCTGCTGGAACTGATTGCGCGCACCAAGTCGGCTGTGCGCGAGCTGGACAACCTTAACTACCGCAAGATGAAGAAGATACTCATGGTGGACACCTGCGAGACGGAAAGCGCCGTGGGCGATGCCGACGACCAACAGGACGACCATGCCGGCGGCGACAGCAGCAAGAGCAATAGTATTACTTCGGAACACTCCATACACTCGGTGGGTGTATCGGCGGCCAGTAGTCAGGTGAGGATTTCAGTTCAGTCCGCCCCCTTCCTGCCCCCAGTCTGTTTTGCTGATCCCGATTAACCCTATTCGTTCTTGCAGAGCTCCTCATCCAATTCCATACCGGCCGCGGCCCAGAATCATCACCATATCGCTGCGCACCACCACCAGCAGGCGGCAAGCGCCGCTGTGGCGGCAGCAATGCACCACCATCACCATCCACACCAGCAGCAGCCGCCGCCCAGCTGGCCAAGCGGCCAACAGAACCAGGTGGTGGTTCCGCCCGGAGCGGTGTCCCGCAATTCGTCGCGCCACCGCAACCGGCCGCCGCTGCCCAACATAATGCACAGCATGAACAACAATGTCACGCCCACCAACTCGGCCTCGGTGGTGCCGGCTCCAGCGCCTGCTCCGGTGCCACCGCCACCGATTTCCGTGATGCCGCACCTGAATGCGATGGGCCACGTGGGATCCTTCGCCAGCTCCGCGTCCTCGCAACAGGCCATCTCCAACGCAGTGAACGACCACGGGCCCAACAACTTCGCCACCATACGAACCACCAGTATCGTGACAAAGCAGCAAAAGGAGCACATGCAGGTGCGTTGTCGCGTTTCGTTTTTCAATACTCCTGCCTTGGCCGTAGATTTATGTGTGCGCTCACTCGTGGGGGTGTTGGGTCCAGGGGAGTCGCCTGGCTGCAGCACAGATGGTCCACCTCCATGGGCATCCATTGACGGGATCATGCCCAAGTTTTCGCGGTCCAAGCTCCACCGATTGCCTTCCATCCTGCGCGGCCTTTGTTCATAATCCGTCTTTCGTCCTCTGTCCTGTCCTGTCAGCATCAATGGTCGCCGGGAGTCATCCCGTCATCCGGTCATCCGTCGGC